ATGAACGCGCGATACATGTCAGAATAATCCTTTTCTCGCGACAAGCGAGTTATTAATCTGCGTAGTGACCCCATGGCTGCGTTGATAGAGTCGCCAAGTTGACTCTCGGGGGCTTTAAGCGGTAATCTGACTACATAGCGTCCATCAGACTTTCGATAATGCGTTTGACGAAAGTGAACTTCACATTCGTCTTCCTCAGCGATGTTGAGCGATGAATTTCCTGATGGAACTTCTTCCTGTTCCCAAAACTTAGCGATAGCGTCTTGTAATTCTGTATCAATTGACGCATGTAATGCTGCGTGTGATGTTGAAGCGGTTTTAGCAGTGTCAGCTCCATAGACAATCCAACCAAGCGTGGTGGATTGTGCAATAGGAGCATTGCGAGGTCCTCGTTGAATCTCTGCGTTCATGATCTGTGCGGCTGGTGATGCACCTAGAATAATGTCTACAGGACGCGGCTGTAGATACTGCGGGTCAGCTAGTTGGAGATTCTCCAGATGCGGCCATTTCGGATCGGCGATCACGAACGATGGAAGGTCTACCGTCAGTGTTGGTAGAATATGCATGCTGACATGCATTGATGCGGTCGTATACAGCGAGCGAAGCTCAATTGTGCTCACACCTAGTGAGCTTCCTGCGGAGACATTGCCAATGCCCTTGAGCATGACCATGTCACGCTGTAGCGGTTGACCAAGCTTCTTGAAGAGCGTCTGTCTCATGAATGAGAGCTCTGAGCCTTGATCAATCAAAACTCTGGCGGTGATTAGATTGCCATTATGCGGGCGGACCTGGACCAATGCGGTAGCTAGTAAAACTTGAGCGGAAAGTGAATCTGAAATAATCAACAGTTAATTTCAAGTTGTAAACGGTCTAAAAGGAACGATTAGTTGCCTGTGCGGAAGATGTAGCCTGCGGCGAAGCTGATGTCGTTGGTACATCCAAAATGGATGCACATGTGGTGACGTTGACCGCATTTTCGGCAATCTTGAGCGGTCTTGAAATCTGCGGCGAGGTGCGGAACACGAAAGTTGAAGCACAAGTTGCATTTTGCAACTATCTTGCGTAATTCTCCATAGCGAGGTTAATTTAGGCCCGAAGTCGAGTTTTCAGTCTAAATAAACGAAAGTTCAGCGTAGCGGTGTACGAATGACTACCAGGAGCAGCACCCGATGTGCTCCGCGATGCTTCTGCCACTCGACCCTTCCTAGCGGTAATAAACTTCACTCAACACAACACAAATTTTAAGCGAAATAATTAATTAAATTAATTGAGATAGAGCCAGCCTGATCCGGCTCGAGGGACCAAATGTAAAATGCTGAAAGAGCGGAAAAACTAAGGATCAGGTTTCGGTCTGGTTATCTCAATTAAAATACAAAAATTATTATTAATAATATCACTAGAGATTTATTTACTATAAATACACTCAATATTTAATATATTCAATAGCGGATTGATAAGAAAAAAGTGGATTTATAAAACACAGCGTGGATATCAATGCGAAGCCGGTCAGCACGTGGTTGAGCAAATTGCCGGCACTGTAAAAAACGGTGAAACAAAAGCAAATAAACACAATTTATCTGAAACAAACTGAAGCGAAATATTAGCGGTTAATTTAAGCAATTTAAATTATAAAAATAGCGAACTGCGTTTAGTTAACGATGAGCGAAATAAAATAGCGGGAAAGCGAAGCGTTAGACTTAATGGCGGAGAAGCGAAAGATAATAATAATAATTCGTCTTCTTCCTCGTCTTGGAGAAGAAGGCTACTGCGCATGTCTAACGAGAGCGATAGCCAATCAATAAATTCGTTCTATTGATGTCGACATCGATAGCCAATGGTAAAATTCGATACCTGTGGCGTGATCAGTCAGGTGGTTTTACGCACGCGGGTGAGAAATAGCGGGAACGATGGCTTGTCAGGTGCGTGTTGTAAATTTGGGGAGCCCACAGTGACGTATTGCTCACTGAGTGGGCCTGTTCACCGAACATTCAGAATTAATTTTTTTTTTCATTTTCTTCACACTATTAGCACATTTAAAGTTGGTTGTTCTGCTCTAATTGAATTGAAGTTAATCAAAGATTACAACCGAAGATACTTGAGAATCGTTGAATGTGATTTAGTCCATACACAACATGAACCAACAGGAGTATGAGTTTTTGTGGAAAAAATTGATAACTTTTATATTTGATTGCGCTGCTCAGTAATATTAATGATGATTTTTTTTCTAGCCATTGTATAAGTTGTTTCCGGAAAATAGACGATTATCACCAGAACAGCTTGCAGAAGTGCATAAGTACATGATCTTACATTGTGAAAAGAAAAGATTGAGACACCATATTATGACGAATTACGGAAAATTTTGCACCTTGAGGGATTTGACAAATATTAAAGCCAAAAGTAAAAGCAATATAGGTGAAGATGATTTAACGTATATTACAATTTTTTTACAGGAAAAAGGTAAATAATATTTTTAGTTCATAATTTTGTTAGAAGACAAATTTTATAAGTGTAACTATTGTAGAGCTAGCATGCATATATAGTTTTTCAGTTTTCTATCTTATCTATCCATTGAAATTTTTTACGTTATCGCAATTTTTAATTGATTTTTAAAAATTTAGGATACTAAAAATATTAGAAATTCTTAACTGTTTATTAGCTTTCTATTTTAAAAAATATATTTTATCATCTAATGATTTTTATGAGAGTTGAAAACATCTTTATTTTCAAACCTAGCTTCTATAAACTATTGAATGATCTATTTACGTAAAATATAAAGTATTTTTTTGTTAAAGTACTGAATATGTGATGCTTGACGTGAAAACTTGTATCATATTTATTTAAGTCCTAACAGACCTTAATATATTTTCAGGAGCGGATGTATCCATTTGTAAAGAAAAAAATCAGTTTAAGGGTTTGTATTTTTCTACGCCTGATATGAAAAATTCTATGAATGCATGGCCTGAAGTTGTGTTCATTGACGGGACTTACACATTACTGGACAATAATTTAACACTTACGATTGTAGCTGTAGAAGATTCTAATGGCTTAACAAATATAGTAGCGATTGGCTTATTAGCATGTGAAGACATTCCAACTTTTGATTGGTTTATTAAAACATTTATTAAAAATAATCAGGAACCATGCTCTCGAATAAAATCTTTTATGGCAGATAAAAGTATAGTAGAAAGAACCGTATTGAAAAATAATTTTAAAAACGTTCCTGTATATATATGCATATTTCACACACTGCAAGCTGTGAAAAGAGCATTACAAAAAAAGAATATTTCAGTAGCTCAACAAACGAAAATTTTTGAACTATTTAAGAATCTAGCCTACAGTTCGTCTCAAAAAACCTATGACCAGCAGTATGAAACTTTTTGCAAAGAAGTGCCGGCAGAAATATTAAAATATTTCAAAGATCATTGGTTTAATTGTCAGGAAGAGTGGACAACATTCAATATGAAGGAAGAGAATTTCAACAATAGTTCTAATAATCGTGTTGAATCCTTAAATCAAAAAGCTAAGCAAATAGTCGAAAAAAGAAGTTCACCGACCGATTTTATAAAATCTCTTTTCATATTTATAACTTCTCTTAATACCGAAATTGATTACAAAGCTGCCGAAAATTTTCTCAAAATTAAAACTAAAAATTTAAATGATACTGACCTAACTAATTATCGTAGTGTATTAACTGAAAAAGGATTTAATGAATTGAAGAAAGACTGGAACAACTACACCAAAGTTCAAATCTACACAAACTGCGAAAATAAATATTTTTATAAAGAAGATGGAGTACAAATTGAAGTTTCTGAAAATTGTTGCCTCTGCAGAGATTGGTCATCTATGCATCTACCATGCCGACATATATTAGCTACTCGGAAATTTTTAAATTTGCTATTGTTCAGTGAAGAGCTTTGTCATGAGCGCTGGACTAAAAACTATTACCGTAAAAAACAACGAACTTTTCAGAAAGAAAGTATCTCCGCTTGTTCTAATATACCATTAGTCACTGAAATAAAATCACCAGTTGAGACTGAAAAAGACCGGCTACACTTTGCAGAAAATTGCATGAGTGGATTAGTTTCAATAGTAAGTTATTTTTTTAATTTAGAATTTGTGAAGAAATTAGAGGTATTAAAACAAATTCTTGCTTTATGGAAAAAAAATCAAACTTTTTCACTAGAGGAATTTAAAAATTATGAAAAACACAATGCTTGTTCTGCTAATATAAATAAAAAATTTGAAAGACTTACTATTGAAACGAAAAGTACATTAAGCGTGCCAAAAAAAAGAAAAATTGTGCAACTAGTTACACATGATCTAATCAAAGTATGGTCATCATCCACGGGCGAAGAATTTGAAATTAAATCGAATGTCATAAAGCTTCTAAAAGATTTTTGGAGTAAAAATAAAGAAATAAATATTACAACACCAAATAGCAACGAATTTGATGCTGAAAATTTATTGAAGGATCCGGACACGACTCTAAACAACTCATGTTATATCAATGATAATAACGATCAGATTCAATCTGTTTTATTGCCAGCTACCATAAAAATAAAAGGTCGTCCACGTCTAAGTCTAATAACAATGCCACCAAAGTATAAAAAAAACCAAAAAACAGAACCTAATGCAAATAAAATAAATAAAAAGATAACGAAAGATGCTGATAAAAAAACTGTAGGGTCTCGGTTTAATGAGCCAAAATTAGATGAAGAGCACGGTATTACACCATTCCGAATGATGGAAAAAAAATTTCAGGAAGAAAAAATATTAAAATATATATTTACTGACATTACTTTGGTAGAGAGTCGAAGCATTTCAAATAAAATTAAGAAAAAATCTGTAGCTAAATTAACGGTGAATTGCCTGGAAGATCCCATCACA